GGGTAAAGGCGTCATAAACCTTTATCCTGACAATTTCGGTTTACAATAATAGGAGTTTTCGAATATTATTAGATCCCGTTTTTTGGTTATTCGAGTTTTCAAATTATATAGGAATGAAAAACACGGAGTTTCGAATTTTGAATGGGGAAATATGAAGGTTTTGTTCAACTGTTTATTCGATTAATTTCTGTTCGATTTGAACTAAAGATACACTATACTTCGGGAAATTCGACAATTTCAGCCGAATAAAAGAATATCGAATAGATTGAAAATTATCGAAAGTCGAAAGTATCGAATAAGCGAGCAATAACTAAACTCGAAAATGATAAATCATCCGAATAAATAAACATTCAAATGTACAGAACAATCAAATCTAAAATTTGCTGACATACCCAGCGGTGTGTCAGCGGTGTGACCGAACTGTAGTAATTCGAAAACAAATTTTATTTGAATGCGACAAATAAATATTCCGATAAAACCTCAAGTAGTATTCGTTCGAAAATGGAAATTTCTAAAAAATCGAATTTTATTTTGTCTAAGTTTTCAAATCAATTCCGAACCCCGTCTTTTGATTATTCGAGTTTTCGAATTTTATTCGAAAATGAAAATCCGAGATTTGAGACTCGAATGCGAATATGTCCGAATATTTTCTCCGAATATCTAATTTTTATTTGATCCGGGCTAAAGTATACCATATACGTCTTCAAAGTAACCTAGATGAAGGTAAGGAGCTTTGAGATGCGATGGAAGAAATTAATATTGACTTGTGTCGAGTAAAGAAATTACATGATTGGCGTCCATATAGTTTCAGATAGCAAAGTGGCAGAATTCTAGGAATTATTGCGTAACATTAAGCTATGTGGGAGGGAGGGGAGGAGGGAGGCACAACAACTTAAACAGTTGGGCCGTTAGCAATCTACCCTACCTAGCGGCATACAGATGCCGGCAAGTTGACACACATCACGGAAAGTTGCCAATTCCGGTGTGAACTTGCAGACTGGTCACAGGCAGGCCGCTGCAAAAGCTCGCATCGTGCGCGCCTCGAACTTGCATGCATCCACTTCGATCGCCATCGCCCCTTAACATTCGAGCACATGTACATTCTACGAACTTGCAAAAGATGTTGGAGAAAGTGGTGCCTGCGTGTGCATGATCAATGCTTTGTGTGGTATTCTTTCGACTTTGCAAAAACAGCTGATCAACATGCACAAAAGATACGAAAATGGGCAAGGAACGATTTCGGAGGAGTTACAAGACTACGGCGGTGCCCATCAAGACCAAGAAGATTGAAATAAATCTACCTTGCATGCAGAACAACAAGTTGACCAAGAAGAGACCTCGATGATGAAATCTACCATTACAGTAGAGAAAAGAATTTCGAGTGGGTGTTTGATTGATTGCTGAGACGTGAGTTGTATGATAATGCCGCACCACGCAAATTCAGGTGCCGCCAGCAAGGTGCCAGCACATCGACATGCCCCTACCGCGTCGAGATGCCGGCACCTTGCTCTCTCAAAAGAGCACGCTAGTTCGCGTGCTCTCTGACCTTCCGGCAGCTGCCACCACCCTTCGACGAGCTGCCGGCAGGTTGTCGGCAAGTGAGCTCGCGGAGCTGCCACCAGCAACTGCTGCCCTTTTGAATATTTCTCTTTAGGGGGATTTTTAGAATTTCAAATTTCAGTGTAGGTTTCGTCGAAGTGGCGGTGGCCTCTTCACCTAGAAGTTTTTTGTAGGAAGGCTTCAAACGGCTTAAATGTGAAAGATTGGTTTCTGGCGACGTCACGTCAAGGTGCCGGCGACCTGACGGCGAAACCCGCTGCCAGGTCGGGGTGGTTATTACGGGCCCTGCTGACGTAGGCGGGCGCAGAAAAAAAAGATGATTATTCTGATTGCAGGATTTGAAAAAATTGACAACAAGCCCTTGTAATGCTGCTTGCTAATTCTTTATTTCAACAAAAAAGAGCAATCCTTTATTCCAACAAAAAAGAGTGATCTTCTCGCAGAAAGTCAGAGTAAGGAAGGCAGCAACATACGGCACGGAATAACGCATTTTTGATTTTCTGACATTCTGCGAGCGGAACGCAAAAATTTAACAAAATGCATTTTCTTTTGATTGCCAAGCCCCGGCAATTGTTTGAATAGTGCTTCGACGCTAATGTTGTACAATCGGGAGCTTTGGGAACATAATTGACTTCTAGGCTCATCACGGATGGCACATGGGAAGTTGTATGTTGTCGGCCGACTCTCGGAAAATTCTCGTATTGGTTGGGGTCGCAAATATATTAGGATTACACAGCTGTAAAAATATGAAAAGTCAATAATGAAGGACGGGCCTTGCAAATTTTCCCCGAAATTTCACCATGACTGATGAAGAAGCGATTTAAGGTGTAACAACAATTTTGCTGTCGTATGTGCAACGACTCAGACTATCGCCGATGGCAGGCGGTCCGCAAACTAGCGCTTTCTTGCAGGCGGTCAGCAGAATTTTGGGGCGTGGCCAAACCTTCAGCGAGCGGTACATCCTTTGCTGCCGCATGTTCTGCAGCGGGCAGCAATACAGCATTTCTGCAAGCGGTCGTCAGATAGTTTCTTCCAGCAAGCGCTGGCCAATTTTTTAGCGAGCACTCTGGCTCTTGTCACGCAGTTTCGGGCAAACGCCGAGCAAAGGTAACACTCTACAAGGCAGAGGTGTCACCGGTGGTTTAATTATCCGAGTTTGGGGTACTTTCTCGCAGCGGAAGGTAACTAGAGCTGTGTGGTCCTCCAAAAAGGACCGTGCTGCCCTCAACAATTCTGCATATTATCGCGGAAAGTCCGCGAGAATGCGGCCACTGCGCCGCAATTAATCCACAAAAAGCAGCATTTGTTTTCAATAATTCGTCTAAAATTTGGCCAACATTCTTCTAAATGTCTGCAAGAAGAAATCAACGAACTATTTTTCCGGTGCTCGCTTGCACATAAATCGCATGGCCGCCTGCTCCCGGCGTTTACCTGAGTGTGAGTAGCACCAATACGAGAGTTATCAAAATTTACTTGAACTGGAAACGTCGCAAGCTTGTTTCAATTTTGATAGCGTTGTGCCACTTGGTGAGTTAGTGGACCAAGTAGAAATAATCATGGTTTTTCACTTTTCATCTTATATATAAAGCTGAATGTCTGTTTGTCTGTCTGTCTGTCTGTATGTAAGTCTGTGTGTACGTATGTTTCGAATAGAAAATTCCATTTTTGAACCGATCCGGACCAATGGCACACATACACTTCGGGCCCCGGCGGGTGTCATAGGCTACTTTTCGTCATCGATCGATGTCGATTTTATCGATTTTTTGCAGAGTTCACCTACGGGGCTGGGAGTTGGCACAGGGGGTAAGTGAGCATGAGGATTCCGAATACAATATTAGTTTTCAGAATTATCGATTACTTTTATCGATTTTTTTGCAAAGTTTGAGCTGCGGGGCTGGGAGTTTGCACAGGGGGAGGGGGTAATCGAGCATGGGGATTCCGAATACAATATTAGTTTTCAGAATTATCGATTACTTTTATCGATTTTATCGATTTTTTGCAAAGTTTGAGCTACGGGCTGGGAGTTTGCACAGGGGGGGGATAATCGAGCATGGGGATTCCGAATACAATATTAGTTTTCAGAATTATCGATTATTTTTATCGATTTTATCGATTTTTTTGCAAAGTTTGAGCTACGGGGGAGTTTGCACAGGGGGGTAATCGAGCATGCTGATTACGAATATAATAATGACAGGGCCGGGCGGAGCCGGGTAAATCAACTAGTCTTCTATGCCACTTTTATCCACCCCCTGGTCGCCTCAAACTTCCAGACTTAATCACAACTTTCGAATATTTCTAACAGTAGTGCAATCCTGGTAAAAGCAAGTGCATGGCAGTGCGCGCTAAGAGGAAACTGCCAGAGCAAAGAAAACAAACGCTTGTATTTCAGTTGAAGGTGCGTATAGTAGCACTGTCATGTTCGTGTTATTCTTCTTAATCCTGCTTTACTCTATAAACATCCCATATAGCATGCTGTGACTCAAAGTCGACATTGCTCTTAGAAACCAGTGGCCTTTACTGGCTTACCTAACTCTTTGCATGCTTTACATGCTATTTTCAAGAAAACCAACTAATTCAGCAAGATCATGTAATCTCATGAATAAGGGCTATAACATACCCTTTTGCAGGTTTTTCGCTTACAGAATGTTGCAGAAGAAAGAAGGGAGAAATAAGTGTATATCTTACGAGGGAATGGTCAGAAATCGACGTGGCCAATTTGGGCTGCATACCATTAGATGCAGCATAAAGCGCTAATTTCGAATCTATACTCCTTATCTGCAGTGCGATTATGTGGGCAAAGTTATGAGCCGTTAAAGATTAAAGACCATTATTTTGCTAAGAAATCGCACATGTAAAGGGCAAACTTGGCCGTACAAAGCCATTCTCGGCTCAGCGTTAGATCTAATCATGCAACTAAGTCACTTTATATAGCCCGTACCTAGAGGTGAACTAAAAGGGCAATAATGTGCATATTTTGGCAACTTCTATGTACGATTTTTCGCACTAAAGCTGCTCATAACGTCGTTTACAAAAGCGCTCTGCAGATAAGGAAGGAAGGTTTGAAATCAGCCTTCTGTGCTACATCGAATAGTATGCAGCTTGTTTAAATTGGCCACTTCGACTTCTGACCATTTCCTTGTTAGTACAAAAATAGGTATATTCCATAACGTTTTTGAGGGAATTTCCACATATTGTATTCTAAGATCGGTCGCAATCTACTATGCGGAGCTATGAGTCTCTCGAAGTATCCCTAATCTTGAGAGTCTCGAAAAGAAGAAAAAGAAAAAACAAACGCGATAAGGGGTTTGATTAGGCAAAAAAGTAAGGCAAAACATGGTCAGCAACCATAAGATACAGGTACCCCCTTTAAAAGCTTTTAGTGAATTTGGTGAATAATACATATCGCTCTGAGCTTACGACTGGTTGACCATCATTATCACCTGCAAATTCATCTGTGCTTGGTTTAATTCCAGCTGTTGAAGAATGTTCCGCGCAATTTTCGTTACATAGACGGAAGCGTAACCTTCTCCGACCAGGTAAATTGTATTGTTAGCTCTTTCAGGGTATACTGCGAGAAAGCTGGTTAAAGCATTTGTCATGACCGTTGCGATCTAAAGAAGTCTTTTGATTCTCCAGTTTATCTATTTAATGAGTAGAATACCTTTTTGTCGTCTAATAAGTTCTTCGAATTAGACGAATACCCCACGCCTGGAGGATCAATCACCAGAAGATTTGCTATCTGAGGAACTGTCTCTATAACACAGAATCCTAGAATCCTGATGCTACTTACCTTGTTCCAAGAAAAAACATTTTCATACAGTGGTTTCCTTTCACCAAAAGAACGAAACGGTCCAATATTCATTACCATTGCATGTGCCGAACTACATTGCCTACCACTGATATATAATATCAAGGCGTCTGTAGCTGGATTACTTTGAGACTCGATGTACCTTAAATTCTTATTCAGTCAGTATGGTTCAGCATGAAATAACTTTAATTGAAAGAATCTTCTGAATGGCAAAACGTATAACGAAGACATAAGATAAATTTTATTTACCCCCGACAGAAAGCTGTAGCGAAGAAAGAGAGATGGACGAATGGAGCGGCAATGAGAATCTTGTGGAAATCAACCGATGTTGTTATACAGAATGACGTAACCGTAAAAAAAGTCAAAAAATCTGGGTGATTTCCAAGTTTTTCTCGTAAGTCTGGATGACTTTTAAGATAGGAATACATTTTAGCCAGTGGCGGTCCCAGGATTTCGGACCGGGGGGGGGGGACAAAAAAATTTTTTCAAATGAAGGTGCGTGGCGTTAACCACGCGCTCCGAAAACATTTTTGAGGACGCATAGATTTGTAGACGGTCTGACAAAGCAAATTGATGCCGACGCTTACCAGTAATGCAATCTGTACGACGCTGTTCCATCACTTGAATTCAAGTAGCCAGCAAATTGCTGAAAATTTGTTTGGAAAGAGACCCGTGGCAAATTCACGACTCTGTCAGCTCTAGCTTGTGCAGATCTCCCACCATTTGCGGCATTGAATACAATAGCCGGGAGTAACAAGAACAACAGACACATAATGCCAGTGCAGATGGAAGCGAAGTGTTGTCATTGAGGCCATTTTACATCAAAAGACTAATGACAACGTTTTCAGCGACTCAGCCCATTGACGCTGTAAAATAATAAAAAGAGTTCCGAAAAAAATTAACAATCTCTGGAGAGTTGGCTGATCAAGAAGTTTGTTTCGACCTAGATTCTGTACTGACTCAAAAAAAGCAATCACAAAACTTTCTCTAATACTGAAAAGATCTTTTTTTTGCAGAGCGCATTCCGGAAAATTCCAAGGATTATGTTGATAGAGAAGTTTGGTGATTAGGACTGCATGTCGCTATATAGATTCCAATCAGCCAAAGTTCCCCACTCTTAGGCAAGTATGCACGTACATCCCCGCTGGGGAGAGGAGGAAATCTGAGAGGGGATGCGTCATATCTCGCTTTTCTGGATATCTTTCTTTTCCTTCTCTATTTTGCTTATGAAAGCTCTCATATCCTAATACTGCGCATGATTGATGCCAGGTTACTGGCATAATTGGTTAGATTTTCACTCTGTGTGATCCCCTGGGGATTCCCAGGGGATCTCCAGAGGATCACCTCTCAATTTGAATGCCATCTATATTTCTGAAATTTCATTGAAACGCTGTAAAATTGTACTTACAAGGGAAAGTTCCCAAGTCAGCTCGGCCAACCCGGATGAGTCATATATCACCGTAACGGGCTTGAAACGCTGATTCCAAATCTGCTTTCCTTTTCGCGGAGCAATTTTCCGAGGGAAGTTATGAGCATTTAAATGTCTAAATTTGTCATGTTCAAAGTGGCTTAAAATCAGTTGAAAGCAGTGGCGTACCGAGGGGGGGGGGGGCGGGGGGGGGCGCGCGCCCCCCCCCCCCGAGAATGGGTCGCGAAATTTTTGAAAGTTACTTATAAGGGTTATAAAAATGTGCAAATGACTTGTTTATACTTGTAAATAATTAAAATAATTTTCAAAATTTTTTGAAAATTCAAATTAGCCTTGTAAAAAAAATTTTTCGGGGTCGGGGACCCGCAAAAATTTTGAGAAGCACCCCAAAAAAATTTTCGAAGTGCGTGGCTAACGCCACGCACCTTCATTAGATAAAAATTTTTGTCGCGCCCCCCCCCCCCGAGCCGAAATCCTGGGTACGCCACTGGTTGAAAGCTGTAAAACAACACCTAACGAATTTTCATTGTCTGTGTTCCGTCCTCGTAATCAACATACTTGATACAAAACTGATAAATCACTTTTATGTGTTATTGTACAGGTTTCGCCAATTTTAAGCCGTTTGAAACATGACAAATTTAGATTTTTAAACGCTCATAACTTCTCTCGGAAGGTCGCTCCGCAGAAAAGGAAAGCAGATTTGGAATCAGCGTTTCAAGCCCGTTACGGTGATATATGACTCATCCGGGTTGGCCGAGCTGACTTGGGAACTCCTCCTCGTTAGATATGATACGGCACTGCTAAGCATGTTTTCGACAGGCGAAATGGAATCTGAAATTTGTGAATCTTTCGATGATCCTTAGCTCGCGAGCTAGAGATTACCGAAGATTTCGATATCCTGTGATTTCACTTATTTCCACTATAAACATCTTTAGCAGATAGAGATATGACGCATCCCTTCCCAGATCCCCTCCCCTCCCCAGCGGGGATGTACGTGCATACGCACCTTAGACGCTCAAAAAACTGTCCTTTATAGCGTCACGATTTTTGTTCAGTAATTTTTCTTAGAAAACAAAGTTTTATTGAATTATTTTTATATGCAAGAAACGGGGGCATCCTAGTGTGTTACGCCTACAAGACTGGGTTCCTGCAAATGCATAAAGACTTCAGCAGCTTGTTATGTGAGGAATGTGTGTGTGGGTGGAAATAATCCAATTACTGATCGATAGATTTAAAGACCTGAGGTTTTATAGAGCATGGTCCGAGGAATAACATAGTGCCGTAACAGTAAAGAGTTTTCCTCTCCAAAATAAATTACGGTGCTATAAAAGGTGTTGATAAGCGCGCCGCAGTGCCTTTCAATAGGAACAGACTTTGGAGTTCCGTTTTCATCAGAGGTTTCAGTTCGCGCGATATATACCTATCTCAACATAGAGACTGTCTATAAGCTACAGGCATATCAGGCGCCATGATAGAACATCTCAGGAAAGAGATACACTACATGTTGTAACGCCCATACTTAGCAGCCACCTAGTTCTGCTATCGAAATTACTCTTCCTTTCAGAGGGATCAATGAGACGTATTTTGATTTGGGAGAGTTCTTGGAGCCTGTTTTGCTTTGTTTTCCTTTTAATTGTTATGTAATTGCCAAAAATTTACTTTGGCATGTAGTCAACAAAATCAGTTTGGCTCAATGCTGAAGAACAGCTTTACTGACCGGTGATTGAAAGCCTGTGAAAAAATGCGCTGCTGTTCTGTCAGAAGGCGCAGTCCACCGTGAATTATCTACCAAACACTAGACAAAAGAATAGGACGAATTATTGCTTTGAATCGAAAATTCCGAACGACAGTTTCACAAACTTCTTAAAACATCGATCTTTCAAACAAATAACATCGAATGACATTTTTACATGAAACAAATTCTCTGATCTAGAAAATTATAGGTTGAAAGAAAAACTTCTAGAGTTTGCCTGAGATACTTGTGGTGTCAAGTTTTCCGAAGGCTGGCCGCATCCACTGATTTACCACTCCTTTATTGACAGACCAATCAATAACAATACATAAGCAATCCGGTAACATGAACATATCAGAATAATGAACTATAGAAATTTGCAATGTTTTTTGAAATCAAATTTCATGTGTTCTACAAAGCTTACATAGGATTTTGTTGAAAATACACCAGTTCAAATCCACCTCTATCATAAAATGGAAATTTGTAATCTACAAAACAAATGGTCTTGTTCGAGCCTTGCCCTAAAGAGCCTATCAATCAAATTCGTCGCAGTTCGAATGCTTGGACTCTATTCGTGTCTGGCATTAACGCTTTTGTTTTTATTGAAAGCTTCTTTAATGAGTGTCCAAGACTGTCTAGGTGTGATCCTCGGAAAATAACTCTTTAGAGCTAGGAACTTTTGCGACGTTCAATTTACACGCATGCAACGTACGAGCTGCTACTTCGATCTCAGCCTTGGTTTAACATCATTTGAAAATTTGGAAAACTCAGCATTTTTCAAATTTTTCAGGCGTTTTCGGAAAGTTCAAATGATGCGCTACACTTTTAAAGTCACAGTTACTCAAGATTAACACAAACTTTCCGAGAAGTAGACTACCCATTTCATTTATTATCAGGGATGAAAAAACCAGCAGCAAGACAGCTCGAAATTTTCAATCAAAGGTTTCTCAATCAGTCTCGATCGTTAAATTTTCTACTATCTTAATATGCGCAAACACCAACTGTAAAGGCTAAATGCGTTCGCCTAGTAGTTCGCTCTAGTGATGCCGAACTAACCATGTTTGGCAAATAGTATTTATATAGGATATATATAGGAATTGTAAAGGAAAGGCAATAAGGAAAAAAAGAAAAAAAAGAAGGAAAAAAGGAAAAAAGGAAAAAGGAATGTAAATCCTATGTATATAGGTGTATATATAGGATATACATGCTTGAATTGTGACAATGTTGTTTCAGCAAGGAATCATTCTGACCCTTTACTGTAACGTCTTTTTTCTTGTTGGAACAAAACCTAATTGAAGAATGAATTCTTTTGCTGAACATGGTCACTAGAAGGAGATAGCGCAGCAGCGCTTCATATTGAGATAGTAGAAAATTCAACGATCGAGACTGATCGAGAAAGCAGCGATTGCAAATTTCGAACTGTTTTGGTACTGGTTTTTTCATCCTTAGTAATGAACTAGCTGGTTTACCCGGCTCCGCCCGGCCCTGTCAAAACACTGTAATAAAGGACCCATCCCTATACCTGTACAGCCTATCCCTGTGTCCACTTCTAGATTTCATTTCCAGTTTCCTGTGTTGTCTTAGAAATCAGCATGCCCACTCCCCTGTGTCAGTCCCAGCTCTTCAACTCAAATTAAGAAATCGATAAAATCGACAAAAGTAATAGGTGATAATATTGTATTTGTAATCAGATGCATGCTCGATTACCCCCCTGTGCCAAATCACAGCCCCGTAGTTCGAACTTTGCAAACAAAATCGATAAAATCGATAAAAGTAATGGATAATTGTGGAAACTATTATTGTATTCGGAATCCCCATGCTCACTTACCCCCCCCCCCCCCCTTGTGCCAACTTCCAGCCCTGTAGCTCAAACTTTGCAAAAAATCGATAAAATCGATAAAAGTAATCGATAGTTCTGAAAACTAATATTGTATTCGGAATCGCCATGCTTACTTACCTCCTGCCAACACACTCTCAGCCCCGTAGGTGAACTTTGCAAAAAAATTGATGAAAATCTATAAAATCGATATTGATCGATGACGAAAAGTAGTCCATGACACCCGCGAGTAGTAATTGATGTTGATGGTCTTCTGACGTGCAGGTCGTAGTTGTGGGATGGCTAGTCCAGTTGACATGATCTCATGCAAATCGACAGGAAAGATGATAGATGGGTGGACGACAAAGCCAAAGCTTCCAACGTTTCGTGATGGAACTTTCTCAACACAGATGATGAGCGTCCCATCACTTATCTCGCACGTCCTTTTTCATTACCTTCGTTTCCTGCAGCGCGATGATGTGGTACTTAATGTCCACTGTGGTGTCGGGAAGAGCGTAGAGGTCGGTGTTTGTGAGACCGTTCTGGTGTTGTAGGTGTAGGTCATAAGGTAGTCTCCATGGCGTGTCGTTCTAAATGTGTCTTTTTTGTCCAATCCAAATGGCGCCGCGAAGTACTTGACATCTGTCTTGTTACCACGCGGCGCCTTTTGCTGAACGAGTTATGAAACCTCTTCCCTACAAGACCTTACGAGGTCACTCTTAAAGGCACCGTCCAACCAAATTCTCGACTTCCATGTTCTTGCCGTTCCGGGGCCTTCTCGTATCCCTGATTCCGAATACAAGTCTTTTTGCCCCTAAAAATGCACCACTTTTCGAGTAAGTGGCCTTGAAGTCTTGCCGTTTTGCATAGGGTGGACCAAACCTTTGGTTACTGCAAACATTGTTGGGGTAATGCCTTACACATCTTTTGGATCCATCCAGGCGTGGCGATCCCCGCAGAAGCGACGCCAGCTGCGAAAAGAGATGCAGTCAGGTGCAAGTCCGACAGCTTGTAGTTCCTTGCAGATCGCAAAACTCGAGTACAACTGCGAGTCAGAAGTTAGCAGGCTCCTCAATCAGATCACCCATGATTTGAAATACCTCGAACTGCACAAGAAAATGGCCACAGAAAGAAAAATTGTGAAAATTTTATGGTTGGAAAGATTTCCTTTTCTGATTTGTAGATCAAACATGTTCTGGCATCAATGAAAATCGAAAGCGGAGTGCCCAGGGACTCTCTTTACAACCTAATAACTGACAAATTCTTGTAATCGCCCTTCCGCTTCACATCCTACCACATTAAGCGTATTTTTTATTGCATAGTGGTCGTTTCAACTTCATAGTCAGTCGTCTGGTGTATTAAGCCCTTATAATTGAAGGCAGTAGTTCGGTAAATCCTCGACATGGAGTTTTTCCGCTTACCTGGGGCAGTTCGACGCGCTGAATTCGAAGATCCACCTTGTAAACCGCAAAAATGGCAAAAAGCAGCATTTCCTAAGGGCCCCTCATTTTGAATCTGGACGAGTGAAACACTACCCGCCATGGCTAGATACGTAGAGTCGTTGCGAGACCCTCATGATTATAGCACTGCGGCATGCCGCCTCTGACAATGAGAGGGGTGTCGGAAGCTCGTCCGAGCGCGTGTAAGAATGGCTTGCGCGTACGGGTTTAGGAGCGGTTTTTAGGCAGGGGCAGCATACCTTGAGCTCGGACCTGCTCTGTTCTTTGGGGTGCAGATAGCCTTCCATATCAAATTTATCAGATGTTTGCTTTTGCCAATGCCTTTAGTAGCTGGTGTCCCCGGCTCAGCCTGGAAAAGCCACTTTTGCTTGGCAGAGGGCTTAATAACTCCAGATAAAGCGGGCAAATTTAATCATGCTGCATCCTTCTGCTCTCTCCACCCGCTCCCTCTGTATCGATGGTTCTTTGGCTTTATAGTAGCCTGAGGCGAAATAGCGCCTCTTGTAGTGTGTTAGATAGAACACAAAAACATTTTAGCTTTATTGAACAGACAACCTGCACAGATGGTACAATGGTAGAATGCTGACAATAATAAACGTGTCTATGTAAGTTACTAGGCATCTGGGCCATAACCAGACTTATATCACAGCAGGTCATGCTTATGGCATGATCTTTAGGTACTTATTAACTGAGAGACTGGCGAAGTGATTTAGGAGTAAGGAGGTGCCAACAATATTGGCATACCCTCTCCGTTGCTCTACCAATCCTGCTCAATCCCACACCAAACTTCACTGCGAAGGCTTAACATTATAAGCTCGCCTACAATACCTATCGCATAATGCCGACCATGGGGAGTTATGCAGTGACAAAAGGAGTTGTACATTAACATACGCATGCGCTTTTGGCAGAATGAGTGTTTACACGTTGAAATGTCGCGGACTTCCGCGACAAATGAAGTAAATCCCAAATAATTCCATCAGGAATTTACAATTGCTTGATTGTACATTGACTTGTGAACAATCATCTTATATAAAGCTGAATGTCTGTTTGTATGTATGTCTGTATGTCTGTATGTATGCCTGTATGTACGTATGTTCCGAATAGAAAATTCCATTTCTGAACCGATCGGGACCAAACTTGGCGCACATACACTTCGGGCCCCGGCGGATGTCGTAGGCTACTTTTCGTCATCGATCGATATCGATTTTATCGATTTTTTGCAAAATTTGAGGTACGGGGCTGGGAGTCGGGCGTTAAAGACTGTCTGTTGTGCGGAGCATGCAGAGCATGAGGCAGTCATGGCGTGTCGCCAGGGCAGATGTGTCGTTTTCGTGCGATCCAAAAGGCGGCCTGAGGACCCTGAGATCGTTGTTATCTGAGGACGTGGTACGACCTCTCGCCATGGCAAGATCCGATGTCCAGGGTTTTTTCTCATCTTCTAGCTGGTGGAGTGATCAAAAATTTCCCCCATTTTGTTTTATTATTGACTAGATGGCTTCGGCTCCGCCCGGCCCTGTCATTATTATATTCGTAATCAGCATGATCGATCACCCCCCTGTGCCAACTCCCAGCCCCGTAGCTCAAATTTTGCAAAAAATCGATAAAATCGATATCGATCGATGACGAAAAGTGGCCTACGACATCCGCCGGGTCCCGAAATGTATGTGTGCCAAGTTTGGTCCGGATCGGTTGAGAAATGAAATTTTCTATTCGGAACATACGGCGGAGCCGGGTAAGCCAGCTAGTAATTTTATATATAAAAGTCTGTTTGTCTGTATGTATGTCTATCTGTCAGTCTATATGTGTGTACGTATGTTCCGAACAGAAAATTTTATTGAACCGATCCGGACCAAACCTTGCACACATATACTTCGGGGCGGGACGGGTACCATAGGCTACTTTTTGTCATTGATCGATATCGATTTTATCGATTTTTATCAATTTTCAAGGGAGCTCACCTACGGAACTGAGATTTCGCATAGGGGGTAATCGAGCATGCTGATTACGAATACAATCTTAGTATTTGTAATTATCCGCTACTTTTATCGATTTGTCGATTTTTTTTTGCAAAGGTTGAGTTACGGGGCTGGGGAGTTGGCACAAGGGGGGGGGGAGGGTAATCGAGCATGCTGATTATTAAAAAAGTGGGAATAGTAAATTGGCATGTAGGCGTGAGCACAGAGGAAGTTTGTACTGGGATAGGGATCAGAGCTTTTCATAGTGCTTTGACAGGGAAACAGGTTAGCCGGCTAGTGTTCCAATACGCGACTTTATATAAGACTCCTTTCTCCTGTTTTATCATTTCCAAGATCATCATCATTGAAGCAGGATTTTCATACTCCAATCGTACTCAGTCTTATTGCAGAACATTCCAAAGCGTCAAAAACTTTGGTGGAAGAATTTTTCGGATAGCCTCATATGCAGAGAATCTATAAACTCTTAAAAAACCACCTAAAAGACTTCCACAAATACGTAAATGATCCCCTCGCCCTTGAAAAACTAAGTGAAATCACATATATCATTTTTATTACCTTAAAGCTATCAACAACATAAACAATGTACAATTTTCCCGTGTAACAAAGATGATGCCTCCTCATATAAACACATATACTTCTATGGAAATAAACATCAGTTTCTTTCAAACTGCTGAAATGCTGCTTCAGTTTGGAGATTATGCAAGTAATCAGTATCTACCTCGTTCTGTGAGCATCGAAAAGAAAAAGAAACATAGTGTACAAGAAATGTGCTGACTGTGTCTGCTCTCTAGTAATAAAAGGCATCGTCGACCAATCGAAAAGGCAGAGCTGACCAATCAGAACCGTTCCACGACCACATGCTTGGAACCGCGTTCGTGCTCGGTGGCTCCAAGTGGAAATTTCTTTCGTTTCACTGGCGCTTGCTTTCCTACGGGATCTCCAAGACCATCCAGCTGTGATCCTCTGTGATAAAATGCATAGAAAAAGGGAAATCTGCCATGTTTCAAAGTTCTCGACTTACCGTGGATCTGAATAGCTGCTGATTCGATCTTCAGTGCTGGGTTCTACATCATCCGTGAATTGTGGTGATGACAAAGGACTTATTTCGTGGTTTTCAGCTGTAAGCCGTCGTAACCAGTCCTGGGTCTTACCTGAAAGACAAACGATTCGCGATCAAAAGAAAGAAACTCATAACTTCTGGAGAGATTGTTTATAATTAAAATCTTGGCTGCGTACGTTGTAAGTGCTAATTTATTTAGCGCGAAAGTTTCGTCACATTTTGTGAAAGATTGATAGCTTCCTGACATCTCAACCAATTTCAAATTTTAGCTTCATTAAAAGGGAAAAGTCAAGCGCTTTGGACAGCATCCAAGCAGATTTGTAATAGGAACGGATTCAAGACTGAAGTAGGAAGTCACTTGTGCTGCGGTTCCTTGAAAAATACCAAAATATGAAACATTGCAATAAAGTCCCGACCAGTCAGTAAGTTTCATGACCTACTCTTTCCGAAGAAAGCCTCAATATGACTTTCAAAAAAGTTGATGGAAAAAGTAGAAAAATCAAAAATTTCGTCGCAAAAGTGAGGGGGAATTTCGCACCAATCACAAATATATAGAGATTCATCCTCAGCAAAATTATTGATCGAAAAAAATCTCAAATCATAAGCTACTAGTAGAAAATTAATCAGCATAAATTCGTTATTCAGATAGAGATAGAGATAGAGATAGAGAGAGAGAAAGAGAGAGAGAGAGAGAGAGAGAGAGAGAGAGTTACAGTACCAAAACCATATCTAGAGTTGGATTTGTTGACCTTTCAGCCTTTTTAACGACCATACCCAAAAAAATACGATTTGAGAGTTTCTCTTATTTCTCTTTATCGACTTCACCGCAGCGATAAGTTTATAACAATCTTCACTAAGATAAAGAATAATTTTCTTTTTTCACACAAATTAAACAATTTTACTAAAAATGAAGATTTTTTTCAAAATTGTTGCAAAAATTATGTTCTAATCCAATGTTCAATGGCGGTTCTTACATACAGGATGAGTCTTTTGAATTTCACTTTCTTCTCTTATTACCTTAATTTTGACAATTACAACCAAAACTCACTTGTTGGTGTCATTTGCTTCTCTTTGTCGTCTGTACTAGCCGTATCCGGGCTACTACCACTATTATAATTTGCTTTTACCATATTCATTATGCGATGTCTGCTGCTAATATACTCCCTGAAAATCAGGTTAATTATTGAGATCGAAAGGGGAGAAGCTTGAATTTCAACAAACCTGCTATTATCAGCACTAGTCTTATCAGGTAGACAGCAAACGCCACTTCTCAACCAGCGCACTATCGTTAATCGCACTTTTTCGTTGAGAATCACATGCAGGATGAAGATAAAGACACCCTACAATGATGATCGTTTGCAAATGATTTGCGTCAACCGCTCGCGTCGCCCGTTCTCGCTCGTTGTTGCTCGATGTCGCTTCATCCCGCCTAGTGTCGCCTTTCTACTTTCAGCGAGCAAAGGATTTCTTAAGTTTTTACATCTATACGACAATGTGCAATAATGAACAAGAGATAACTAAGTCTCACTTCTACTATATATTAGCCATACTCGATTTTACGTCCTAAGATCGATTTTTAGGAAAAAAAATTCTGGAGAAATACCCAATTTCTCCGTAATTAAAGCTAACTGTGACTTTACACATATAGACAGTAGTATCATAAAAGACCAGCTTTCCCTACTCATACCAAAAACTCACTTGTAAACAATTTAGGATAGTAAATATCCAAGCAAATACAACACCTCCGGCGCTGCCAACAGCCGTAAGAAAGCCGAATATCCAAGTGACACCAAGTAAGCATAATAATGTGGCAGAACCCTGAATCAGGTAAAGTGTGAATGTGCAAGACCGAATACCATGGTAGGTGCGCCATCGCGGACAACTTTCACTTTCGTACATGCTACTGCATGGGGCACGAGGACCAGTTTTCGGAAAGGCGAAATCGTTTCTGTGCCCATATATCGATAGATTAGTAATCGATTCATACCTTCAACCACCCGAATATCTTGTCGGTCCTGTTGCGATCTCGACTTTTCACCGAAAGCACTACTCGCAAAGCAATGACGAGGAAAATCACATTTGCCTACAGAGCATAAATAAACAATCAATATCGATCGATAAAAAGCCTAAAGATCCTTACCAAAATAACAACGATAACTGGTACGATAAAAGTCCACAACGTTGGTGACGACGTATTTATCCAACAGCTGAATGGTTTTTTTACCGATGTGCTCACCGTCTAATCGATAAAATCAATATGCACTCACTATTGATCAGTGCCATAGTTATGCCATGCGACACCGGCTGAGACACCTACGACGACGGCTGGGAAACCGTATGAGAATAGATAGTACAGTAGGATGCGTGTTTTGTCTGGTTCAAACACCTATAAAAAGAGGTCGTGTTAGTTTGCAGAAAATTGGACCCGTGCGCGAGTCGCGACTTACTTGGATCAACATCAGGTATAGTTGATAGCCTTCTAGAAGCATCCAGCAAAAGGCAGCTAAGAAAAAATAATGGAGAAGTAAAGCCACTATCGAGCAGCCCACACGATTTGCAGTTCGGTCCATTCCTGGAAAATAAATCGATATATTGATTATATTCTTTGCAGGCTATTTCAGGTATTCACGTGATGAAACTATTGAATCCTAGAAAAAATTTGAAATTTTTCTAAGAGTAGGAATACAAAACGTAATAAATCAAACTTTCAAAAATACTTTCTCGAATAACCAATTGCGTCTAATTGGTGACAAATACTGGAAAATCAATATACTGATTATCTTGCCCGCTTACCAATCACAAACACAAGCTCGGCAACCAGCAAACTGAAGCACAAATTACGATGAATAGTATTTCGCACATTGTAAAGAGATCTAAAATAGACGTTGACATCCCGCTCAATTACAACTGAAAAAATTTACCTGAAAAAGGTAAACACAAACAGCGACAAGGCCAGACACACAACAGACAGTGCACAACCGATGATCGAGACGACATCCAAAGCTGCAGCCATGCTGCCATCATACTGAGATACTTTTCCGGATACGTCCATCAAGATAGCAAAACTAAAAATAATCTTTGTAATCACAATGTACAAATTATCGCAAAAGCAGATAACTGTAAATATCAGAAATTGTCTGATTTGTAATTCACAGCTCTTATGTTTATACTTTGTCGCCAGCTGTCGCCAGTTGTCGCTCGCCACCAGGCAAATTATGCTGATGTCAATATAATAATTCTGATTTTTGCAAATAATCCAAACAACTGGTATACAGAAGACCAGTTCAGAAACCAAAATATCAATATGGAAAAAATAACCAATATAAAAGTGACTCAGTGTTTTTTATGTACCAGTCAACCAGCATGACCACTTACCTAGTCAAGTGAGTGCAAGCACATTCCGTAAGTTCATCGCTAGTGGATATCAGTCGGCAACCTTCCGTACTCCATTCCCTAAAAAAAATTTTTTAATCCGAATTAAGTCAGCAGAATCATGTACTGTATTTTTACCTCGTATCCAAGTTCCAAAACACACAGCGTGGATTGGATACGCCTTTCTTCTTCAAGTGATAAAATGTAAAAGTGGCCGGCTGGTCATCCGGAAGGCTAAAATCGCATATTTGTTATGACTCAATGCAGGGTACATTGGGCCTTTTACCTTAAACTCCTTGTGGCATCATCGACAGAAGCGCCTATGACGTGGCTGTTCACGATGGTATGGGTATCGTGATTAAGCAATTGACCGAACGTGGTAAAGACATAGTAACCCAGACGTAGGCGACTGCGATCCAATGAGGTTGACGCGGGTTGCTGAAAAAATCAAAATTAAGTCGAGCAAAAAAATACTGCTTCCATTTCCCATCTTACGCTTTGATCAAAATATTACAAATCAATTTTTTGCATTTGCTTCGAAAGTATTAGGTCGTTCCGAAAGTTCTTTCCGTTTTTTCAACCTATCATAAAAACAGGAGGAATGAAGGTAGGGAAACGCTTCAAACACTATCCGACGCAGCTTTTCTTCCTCTTTTCAGCTGTCATATTCATGTGCCGCTTGCTCTTGTGATCAGTGAGATAATGTCTGAAATTTAGAACCCATGGTTTTTATGGTGTCCAACTTTTGCAATTTTTCACATCCTTCTTTTTTGACTCTTGGAGAAGCTTTGATAGCAGTCAGATAGAGCAAACAAAGTGCGATTTAATGCAATTTTTCGGCGCCCATAGCTAGCCTTGAAAATTGTTTAGAAATATTTTTCTGATGCTATCAAATTCCACTTTTGGTGATGCCAAGAATTATAGAACATAAAACAGCGCACAACTAAGGTGTCGTTCGATGCAGCTTTTTCTCCTCCTTTTACTGAGTATTTTCCTTCCCAATTTGTGGGGAGTTCTGGCGATAAAATCTCCATAATTCTTGATTTTGAACCCGCCTAAGGGTGTACACGCGAAAAGCGAAATCTTATATTTCGAAGCGGTAAACACTGAGCTACTTTATAAAAATAGTGGACAATCATAAACGACTTTTGTGAGTGTCGAAATCCGAAGATTTGTTAATGTTCGGAGCGTTTTTGTTTTTTGTGATTTCGAAAAAATGAAGACTTCTGGAAAAATTATCTCAAAAAATACTAAGAAGCCAGTCGAAGTTGCCAAAAAATTCCATTAGATTGCACTTTATTTACTCTATCTGGGTGCTATTGAAGCTTTTCCAAAAGTCAAAAAAGAAGGATGTGAAAAATTGCCAAAGTTGGACACCATGAAAACCATGGGTTCGAAATTTCAGACATTATCTCACTGATCACAAGAGCAAGCGGCACAGGAATATGACAGTTGAAAAGAGGAAAAAAAGTTGCGTCGGACAGTGCCTAAAGCGTTTTCCTTTCTTCGTTCTACGCATTTTATGATATGTTGAAAAAACGGAAAGAACTTTCGGAACGACCTAATATATAATGCTTTAGTCAAAACAAATTCATTTTCTATGACTAATACAGAAAAAAACATGGCGCTACTGCGCTTTCTACAGCCGAAAAAGTTAGAATTTCAGATTTTGCTAAGACTTTGTAAATGTGCGGCTTTTGACGTCCTGAATACAAGGTAGGCCTTTCTGCGGGTCTTATCATATTCTCTGAATAGGTTGTACCCAAAAAAAGTTACTGAAGACATGCTGATTACAACCATGGCATACACATAGCCCCATTGTGCGAAAGCAAAACATATGACTCAATACCGTACACCTACCGTAACTAACCCAACCATCTATCGCTAATGCATTCGTGCAACGTGTGTTTGACATCTCTTACTAGTAAGTCAAATCATTTCAATAATGCAGGCTCAATCCGATGCCATACTTACAGTACGCTCACCGTAATCTCAAAAATCGTATAATCCAAACGTCATGTACAATCCCTATGCAAAGCTTCGAAGACTTTAAAATTTGCATTTTGCACGGTATAAAGTAATAGCACCGCAAAACCTTTCACCACAGATATACTGACCCCGAATTCAGATCGTCGTAAACGAATTCGTGCGGAGTCCACGAAGAAACCGGACGCACGTCGTGACACGCTCTTTGATCGCTGAATAAGGGCATGCTCACGTATTTGTCTACTAATGCTACTCTATTACGCTAATTACAGTGGAACAAGAAGGGTAATCAAAATGAGGTCAAAACTAACATTTCCAGAAAAAGATCTTGTCTGAAGTATACACGATTCAGACACGCAAGGACTAGGCGTCGTTGCGGCAAACCAAGATAGTTCGCGCATGGGAGAGACAGCAGACGGTAAGAGAAACGAAAGAGCGCTCGATTAGAGAGACGCCGATACGTCCGTAGTCTTTGCGTGCTATGAATCGTCTATAGCTTGCGCTTTTCTTGACTTCGAGACAATTCAATACTCTGCTATTAAAATTTTTATAATATTCGCAAAGGCTGCCTACCACTCCTGGATGGAAAAAAACTGCAGAACTTGGTGCTGCCGACGCAGCTTTGGAGGACGACTCTAAATTTCAATAATATTTTCCATGATGGATGATTCAAAAATATTTTTCAGTTTTCTTACTTAGAACACTCAGCGATGGCAAGGTGATGATTGGTGACTGACTAAATCCACTGAATTGTACTGTAGGAGCAGGCGAAGGTGTAGTTGTCGTCGGACTGAAAAAATTGGATTCTACAAGTGTGGCGGCAGAGTTGCATGTGTGCCGACAGTGTGCCAGTGCCGTGCCGGTGCTGTTCGGAGCCCACGAGGGCGCGTTCACTATTTATCGACTGCTAAGCCGACGCGCTGCGGCACAGACACGGCGCTGGAACAACGCTGGCACGGAGCTGGCCCAGACAGCTCTGGATACAGCCTGATATTACCGCAACTCGTAATCCAAACTACCTTGCAGGCGCCGCAGCGGGTCTAAAATGATCGTCAAGCGGTGGAGGTGGAGACTTTAATGGTCCTCCAACACGAGGGCCTAAGTGTGTGGCGTTTGGTGAGAAGTTCGCAGAATCCGGTGAGAAGTCTGCAGAATCTTCTTGTGGCGTGATCGCTTCCGGCTGTCGAACGTCAATTTCCATGGCTAAAGACGGTCATTAAAGGACTTCAGGCGAATTGTCGCTTCTCCCACCTACCCCAGTTGCTATACTGCAATTTTTTCTGCTGATCCAGCGTATAATCAGCGAGCAAGATAGCGCTTCGTTCCAAGGATGACATTAGCATGGAAGCGTGATCTACACGAAGTGACGACGTTAGTTCTTCCCATACTGGAAGTGCTCGTGGCGATAACAAGTAATCACCAGATAGGCCGAAGGACTGAAAATGTTCATGAAAGTTGGCGAGAAGCGGGCAGCGTACAGAGCTGTCTGCAGCTGCGCCGTGCCAGCGCCGTGCCAGCTCCGCGCCGTACCTTGCTGGACCCTCGTGGACGCTCCCGTACTGACAGATGCCCGTTCCGGCAATATCTAACACTGAGCTGGAACGGCGGTGGCACCACACTGGCACGGGCTAAGCTTAGGCTGAGACGGCGAATGCCTTCGAAAATCGACATGGAATTATACCTCAGTAAAATTTGCTGCCTTAGCTTGTCGATCAATCCTATTGTCCAGAGCATCATATTGGCTTCTTGCCAAACTGAGCACATCACTAGTCACAGAAACGGTTCCAGTAATATCGCCCCCATATAGTTGACGTGACAGTGTTGAACTAAAAATCTATAGATTTTTTGAATAAGAAGAGTGATATCGAAGCTCACTCCAGATCAGCAGCCATTTTCGTGCTAATTTGCTCTGCTGGATCTCCTCTTTCTATGGCGGATCTCATTTCGACTACCCATTTATGGGTGCAGTTCGTTGTGTCTGGCGTCGCCCATTTCGCTGTATCGCAGTTACAGTACCTAGTGATCGTACCTTAAAAGGATTGAACTTAGCTTTGCGAGAAATTCAAGCATTTACAGTTTTATCCCTCCCCCCCCCTCACAACACGTACAAGCTGCAAGCTTCGTATTATCAAGCGCTGAAGAGCAGAATGAGGTAGAGCACCAATGGTGTAGCGGTATCATTGTACCCTCCCACAGTACAGA